CCTCTGCAGAGCCCTCCTGCCTTCTGGCAGGTCGACACTCCCTCCCAACTTGGTGTCATCTGCAAATTTGCTGATGATGGACTCAATCCCCTCATCTAAATCATCGATAAAGATGTTAAACAGGACTGGTCCCAGCACTGATCCCTGGGGGACACCACTGGTGACCGGCTGCCAGCTGGATGCAGCCCCATTCACCAGCACTCTCTGGGCCCGGCCCTCCAGCCAGTTCCTGACCCAGCACAGAGTGCCCCTGTCCAAGCCATGGGCTGTAGCTTTTCCAGGAGTATATTATGGGAGTATATTATGGGAGACAGTGTCAAAGGGTTTGCTGAAGTCCAGACAGACACATCCACAGCCGTCCCCCTCGTAAAAGGAGATCAGGTTGGTCAAACAGGATCTGCCCCTCCTAAACTCATGTTGACTGGCTCTGATCCCTTGTCCATCCTGTAGCTGCTGTGTGATTGCACACAGGATGATCTGCTCCATAACCTTGCCAGGCACCGAGGTCAGGCTGCCAGGCCTGTAGTTACTAGGGTCAGCCTTGCAGCCTTTTTTATGGATTGGGGTGATATTTGCCAACTTCCAATCATATGGGACCTCCCCCATGAGCCAGGACTGTTGGAAGATGATGGAGAGTGGCTTGGCAAGCTCTTCTGCCAGCTCCCTCATTACCCTAGACAATACCCGTTAATTTTCATTAAAATATGCTTTTGCAGAGACTATTCTGCCTCAGTTTCCTTCAGACTCCCAAATTACTTCTCTTCTGCCTGTACCTTTTTCCTCTTCTCTCTTTGAACATTTTCTCTCTTGCAGTTTTTGCCTTTTTGCCCTACCTGTCTACAGGGACACACCTTGGCTTTCCACTCCAGATAATAATTTTCCTGAGCAATAACAGTTTTTCAAACTACTGCCTTCTGTTACCATCCTTCTCTCACCTCCAAGATTGTAGACTATGCTGTTTGCATTGTCTACCTAATTTTCCTGTAATTAAGTGGCGACCCGTTAAATCACGTTTCTGCTTTATGCTTTCTCCCTATTTCATCAAACAGATCTTTTAAAGGCTGATGATGTTCCCATTTCTCCAAGTCCCCCATACTGCTGGAAGAGTAAATCATGATAGTGACCTTTCACTCACAGGGCAATCACAATTGCTCAGTTGACTGAGCACACCAGAATACGATTCTAAATACAGGAAGGATCAATCAGAAAGAACGAATGATCAAATAAAACCAAGGGAGCAAAATTATCCCAAAGCAGTTCTGCCTCCTCCTATCTGTGACCATCATCACATGCTCATCCTATCTCATGACCAAGAGTAGCAGGATGATCAAAATCAAATGAATCCATGATACTCCTGTCCATTGCAAGAAGGTCATTATATACAGCTACTGCTGCTGTTTCACTCACATGGCTCTGAAATAATACTGATGGGAAATATGGAAGGCAGATGGATTATTTTCTCATCTTCCTTTGTACAAGGAGTAGTTTAGCATCAGTACTTAATAAGACCACCATTATATATAATAAGATACATTTGCTTCAGCAGAAGGGCAACCAAACCTCCCCAATGAAATTGTGATGCCTGGTTCTGCACAGGGCAGTGGAGAAAAGAATCAGAGGTACAGTCTGCCATCAAAGGGAGTGACTTCGCTGAAATGCTAAGAAAACTCCTTGTCTTTGTTCCTGAAAAGTTACATTCTTAAGTAAGTAAAAACTCTGGCTCAGTTTCCTCCACAAAATACCTGCAGAATTGCATACAGCAAAGACACTCAGTTCTGTGTCTACAGGGTGGTCAAGCACTTTTCCTGAACTCTTTGTTTACAGGGACTTTTTCTGCTTTTCCTTGCCCATCTCTGAAAATTGTTAATGGCCTACATGTCATATATGTTTTTCTTCTTGTATATCAGGTGTCTCTTTCCTTCCCATTCATTCCAGGAATTCCCTAAAAGGTGAGCTTATTATTTTTTTTAGCTGTAATCTCTCAAACCTACCTTTATTTAAATAACTGTTCTTTACAGTTTCTTGACCTATCTTGTAGGCTGAAGCAGAAATGGAAAAAAATGAAATGTTGTTTGGGTTTTGTTGGCACTGTGTAGGTATGTGGTGTTCCACAGATTACTCAATTACTGCTAAAGCCTAGTTCATCTGTGAGGCTGGTTGCTAGCTATTCAACCCTCCTGCTTATATAAAATTTTCTCTTTGTCCCTGGAGACTATGAAGAAGTCTACACACAAAGTTCTCAAAGTCACAACAAGGGCTCCCACTTGTTGGAGGTTTTTATCACAGGATGGTGACATTACATACCGCAGTGAAATGTACTTACAGGACAGTGGCAACACATCATTCATGAAGCTTATGCAAGTTCTGTGTACTTGCTTAGGCTTTTTAGTATGGGTGACAAAGTGAATAGTTTTAGGACATGGAAAGACTCCTGGCATGGGAAACAGAAGTAGGCAAGTTTGGATAAGACAAATATGCTTACATCTGGGAGGGGACAGAGGAGGGCATGAGCCAAGTTCTACAAGTTTCCTTACCCTGAATTGGTCCTGGATTCCTGAATTCAACCCTATCTATTTTAATCACCTGGAAGCCCTTGTTTAATGCTGAATTCACATTTGTGGAGCAGTAAGACATGTTTGGCCATGATGTGAGGAGCTACACAGTGAGACTGTGCTGTGCTGACGAACGCCATTAAAATAACATGAAGATGATGAAGTACTAACTCATTCAGCAAGAACATCTCACCTTGCAGAAGCTCTAAATAAAGAGACAGAGGGAAAACAAGCAAGCAAACAAACAAACCAGACAAAACAAGCAAAAACATGAGAATTAAAGCCACAGCTAGCCGCACAGAAGCCAAAAATCCCTGAAATGATTATTTTTAAATTACAAGTAATATTGCTATCAGGCACCCTCTAGTGGCTGAGAATAAATAGTTCCAGAGATGAAAATGCTATCCTACAGGGAAAAACTAAGCAGAAGACATAGTGTCTCATTGGCTTTGTTGGGACAATCGATCACTATACGCCTGTTTGCATTTGGAAGACAGGGAAATAACTCATCATTCAAACCCAATTTCATTATTTATCTTTTGCCACTATGTTCCCAGCATTTCCTTAATTTTCATGTCATCTGACTGGTTACAGATTTCTGTTCATTTAAAACCATTCTACCAATTTGTTGTAAATTACTTTTCTTTGGAATGGGAGATTAGAATCAAATGAAAAATAATAAGACAGAATAGTACTACAGAGGAAGATATGATGGGAACAGAAGTAAATTCTGAACTGATTTCCAATACCTGTGACATCAAGGTATATTTAAACTTAATTGCAGATACATACTGATTTTTTTTTTTGGTTTAAAGAGAAGGCTATTCACTATTTTGCACTTGTATTTAACCTGTAAAAAGAACTGAGACTTGTCTAATCTATAGTGATCATACATCACAGCTTTACAGTAACATATTTTCTAGGAAAAATTTAATTTTACATATGCACGGAATACACTTCATATTTTCTCTTTTCTGTAATTCTTTTACTTATGGTCTGTTATCAGTTGGGTTCAACATACAAGAAGTGCACACTACTAAGAATATGGTGCTACAATTATTAATTATTCTTACCGTTAAAAAAAAAGAATAAAATTAATCCCAGGCAGCATGAGAAATCTTATTCATACGGAAATCTACGGAAATTTCTAGATCCACCAGACAGTACTCCTGGAGACTTTGCCCTAGTAAAGGCACTTGTAGTTAGGAAGAGTTGAACTGGTGCTGCCAGACAAAAGTTCAGCTCTTGTGTTTTTTTATCTCACTGCAGCTTACCTAACTAACCTAACTGGGAAGCTTTCTCACACCAGGGAAAAAAATTCATGGGTATATTGTTGTTGGTTCCTATGAAAAATAAATATGTTCTCAGGCTTATGTATGGAGAAGAGAAAATGGAAAATATGTGGATGAAAAACATGGAAGACAATAACTCTCCTAAATAATTTTAAAATCCAGGGCAAAGTAGCACTCCAAAATGGTCATCAGCCTGGAAGGTGCAGGTCTAAATTCTGAAGCATTTCAGACAGTTCACAACATCTTTTGACCTATCCTTGCTGAGTCCTGAATACAACCACGATAGTTCACTAAAAATACATAGTCATAGAATCAGATGGGTTGGAAAGGACCTCTGAGATCATCAAGTACTGAAGAAAGAATCAAACTCAGAATCCCAGCAAATACGTTTAGTTACCAATTATCCTTTACTTTTTCATCTTCTCCTTACATACGTGGGAGAAATAATTTCTACCTCGATCATGATAAGCAGTCAGAGGGGTCATTTAAAATCTTTGGTGGAGCAGGTATTTGAGGAATACAAGTAGAAAAAAAAATTTCATTACAGTTAATTACAGTTAAAATGGATTTGGAAGAGAAACTACTCATATTTTAGAGGCAGCCATGAAAAATGTAATGAGAATCAGACCCTAATCTGTACTTATCCCAGTTGCATTGGTGTAAGTCTGCTGCCTTTTAAAGACTTTCTCTCCCTTTATACTCCTTCCAGTGAGATGAGAATCAGGCCTGCAGCCTACCTGCCCACCCTTGCCATGATGATGATGATAACGATAATGAAAAAATTAATAGACCTGGAGTCAATATTAAAAATTGCTTGTACCTAATACTAATTTTCCTCATGGCTGTGAAGCCCTCTTTTTGATGAGAAGAAAAACAGAACAGTTACCAGCTGTTCACATAATGATGAACACTAATAAGGGAAGACATGCATGTTAATGAGCTGGGGGAAGGGAATCAGAAGGGGCACTCAACAGTGTGCAGCTGTAAGTGCAAACCCTTCCTCTGAGTATTTTTGAAATCTGACATCACATTATGCTGGCAAATAGCCATGAGACTCAAATCAGCCCCAAACAAGGAAAACAGCACTTGCAGAGTCTACTTTCAGCCCTGACCAGGTGGCCAGCCTGTCTTTCACCACACTGTCAACAGTATTAGGACAGGTATTTTCACCACATGTAGCATCTTCTAAAAAATTATTATTGCAGTCACAAATGACCTGTCAAACTGAGATGACCTCACAGGTCCAACAGAGAATAACAAGTGAAGAAAGAAATGTGTGGATCAGAGATGGCAGGAGAACTATGATGCCCTTTGTTTTGTCTAGTCTGTACATCACACAAACAAGTTGAAGCTTAAAGGCTGGCCTACATGCAGAGTTGATCTTCTTTCCAAGCTGATTTAAACCCTGATGTAATTGTTTCAGTTCAAAAGCCAGCAAAAATCAGTCCTCTCTTATTTTAAACCCTGCTTATTTTCATCAGGTTTGGGTCAGAGAAGCACACACTTCTGAAGAAATATGCCATTCAACCCAAAGTATTGTCTGCATCTAGGTTTACACTACTCTTAACCAACCCATCTCAATTTTGTGAAGACAGGACAGGACCTGCTCCCAGGTCTTGTAGACGCAAAAGACATTAGGCTACCATAGGTGCAAATTCCCTGATTGTAATTCACTTCCTCTGAATTTTCTGTAAGCAGTCCAAAGAGGCATTAGGTCCTTGGAGGACCTCAGTAACTTTATCAGAAGGTACATTTGTTCAACTTGTTCACACTTAATGATCTTGGGAGGCCAAATTGTCAGAACTGAGTGATGTGGCCTGCTTGAAAAACAAACCACAGCCACAGGTGCCAACCTACAGATCTATGGATTATAATTCTACATAGGCAGAGGTAAGATTGCCAATATGAAAGGCAGTGTCTAGTGCAAAACACAATAGGTGGTGTAAAACTGCATAGCTGGAACTATGATGATTTACATATAAATCTACATCTACACACTAAAAATGACTTTGAGTTTTTAGATGTGTAAACAGGTCTTACAAAGGGGTTAGCATTTTATGGAGGGATGCTCACTTATTAGGTTTTTATTTCTCAGTAACAGATGTGGCACTTAAATCAGTACTGCAAGTTGTGATATCAACCTCCATGTCGAGCTCAGATTGAACAGAGGCTGCCAGGGACACGTTCTCTCCTGATTAATATGAAGATAGTATTTTTTTTTCTACTATTCTAGCTGTGTTTCTGCAAGAAAAATGTATGCTGCACAGCAGTCAGCACTTCTCAGCAGGAAAAACTAAGACCAAGAACACAGATATATATGAAATCAGAGAAGAAATGGAAAACATGAACAAGAGACTTAAATTAGAAAAATAATTTAGAAAAAAAATCCATTTTCTAGTAAGTTCTACTTTGTCTCACAGAACACACTGAAATGAAATGCAAAACAGGGAGTCCAATTTCATCAAGCTGCAAAGGTTGCACTGTATGAAAGTCAGTGGCATTGTATGAGTTCATTTAATTCTGAAAAAGTGTTCAGAAAAGTAATTTCAGAAAAGTAAAGGTTTCTGTTGCTTTTGCAAATGTCTGTAACAGCTGAGTCTGAGAGATGGACCACTAACAGGATGAGGTGTATGCTAAAGAAAAAGCCCACCCAAACACAAGTGTTCTAAAACTAACAGTTGAAGGCAAAGAGCACTTCAAGAGGCAAACTGATCTGACCTGACCTGACTGACCAGCTGATCCCTACCTAAGTGTTCTAACAACACTGCTAGCTTGCTCCTGTACATGCTTCCTGCAGCACACAAGAGCAGTTAGAATAGGGCAGGAAGAAGCTCCTGGAGGCAGGACCTTGTGCAAAACAAGAACTCACTGGGAACAGCTGTCCAACCTGCCGTTATAAATGTGCACTCCGCCTGAAGATTTCATGACATTGACCCATGGAGGGGGAAAGTTTTCCAAATCCTGTCATCTTATGCTGTACATTAGACTGATTTGTACTTGTTTCTTCCCTCATAGATTTCATAGATAACTGCTTACCATCCTCTTCAACATCATGCCTGCAAACACTGTCCATGTACTCTTCTTTTTTTTTTTTTTAAGGACTTACAAATCATATTCTTTAGCTTGACATCCCAGCCATGTTTTCCAGTCCTCCAGTCATTCTTGCTATGGTCCTCCAGGCTACTTCCAGCTTCTGTCACAGTCCAAGCTGGGTGGTGGGGATAAACAGAAAAAGAGGACTCTGAAGGCCAAATAAATGCTCAGGCTGTTTAGATAAAGCTGTAAATAATCAGGAAAATCACTGCCATTTACTTGAGGAAATCACCTTTTGCAGAATTTCTAGCACTCTTCCTATATGCAGACCAATGGCTTTTATTCTGCAGAAGTATGAGGGCAGAGATGTGTAAGTCACTCTTCCAATCTGAGGAAACCCAGGTCTCTTGTTCCTCTGATCATTGGCCAGACAGGTAACTGAGTTTTCAGCTATGACTTCAGTTATAAAGGGGGTTGAAGCCACCAGTTCGGTAATAACAGACTCTCTGCACACTTTCATCTCTCTCTGCTTCAGCTCCCTGTAACAACCCATGCCAGGCCAGTGCAGAAATTTTTTCTGCACCTGGGAGATGTTGTACAGGTGTGCTCCTCTGAGCCATTACTCTGATAATAATTCCCACTGATGTGGCCATGCTGGAAATAAAACTGTCTCCACCTTTTGCACTCCTGGTGATAGTGTCGGAGCCCTATAGGACCAAGGCAATTGTGTGCCAGTGCATAGCTGCTCCATGATCACTTCTGACATGAAGCAACAAGGAAAAGCACAGAGAAC